TCTAATGGCACTACCGCAGCTATGTACTAATTCGCTTGGTACTGCACCTGGCTCCTACTCAGACCAAACTCCTCCTCAGAACCCATCTCTCGAGCGCCTCTGTGCTGCCGGCCTCCCAGATCAGCTGGTATTGATTTATTACAATATAAGCTAAACACAACAGCCGCCAAGCAAGCGCATTTCCTTTTTAACCCCTTGAGGCGGTTCTTTCTTTGGTTCAGCACTTCCCAGGCTATTGCTGTCTGCTAGACACTACTTCATCCACTGCTTTAGACCACACTGCTGGGGAGTTTCCCTCTTCAGCACCCACTCTGGCCCTTCGCTGAGGCTAAAGCGACAGTGGCAGAATTAACACATGCCTTAGCTGCCAAGTGTTGAGACTATGGATTGTACAAAGCACAGACGACCTAAAGCTGGGGGAGTGCTGACAGCCTCTGTGGACCCCTGGGCAAGGTATGTGTGTGGGGGTGGGGGGCCCGACACCACCCCCTGGAAGACATGGGGCCTCAGGCAGAAGGGGCTGAGTCAGGGCAGCCAACCCTCAGCACTGCCTGGAGTGTGGCATGCATCCTCCCTTCCCCAGCCCTCAGAACCACGTGGAGCAATAGCGCGCCCTCAGGAAATTGCCCCTTTGTGTCCCCCCCCCACACACACACCAGTGGGCTTGTCTGAAGCACAAACACCAGCTAATTAGTCTCTTATAAGGGAAGGAGGCAGAACAGAGATTCAAACCAAGGAGTTATTGGCTCCCACTTCCAGTGAACCAGATCTGTAGTTCTCAACCTTTTTCGGCTTGAGACCCATTTGTAAACAGTGCCCATGTAAATGGTTTGAGTGCCAGTAGTACCTGGCTTACTAATGACACACTAACACAAAACGTACTAAGTGCACTAGACCAATGTTTTTCAACCAGTGGTATGAGTACCCTCAGGGGTACTCAAAAGAAGTCTGGAGAGGGGAGGGGTACATCAACACAACTGAAATTTGGAGAAAACTGAATTTTTGTTTTAAGTTTTTTACAGTGCTTTATTATTTTTGTCCTTTTTACACCCAAAAATTTCATTGCCCACCCAGTTATGATTAAATGTTGCAATGGTAGAAAAAATGTGTGTCTGAAAACTGTAGGTACTGAGAGTATTTTTTTTTTTAAAGGGGGTAACTTTATAAAAGAAAGGTTGAGAAACACTGCACTAGACCACAGGTGTGACTCCTGCAGCTCCTGTCCCCAGGGAGAGATGGGCTCAGAGGTTGCAGCACTACTGAGGTTTGGCCCTGATGAGCCAAATTTGTCTACACGAGACTGCAATTGAATGCAAGGGGGTCACAGCACTCCTCGCTCAGATGTAGCCCAGCCAGTTCCCTGCCATGATCCCGGTCAGAAAGACAAGCCCAGCCTGGTCGAGGGGACTGACGACTCCAGGAACCACTGCGGCATAGGGTGTGTGAAGTTAGCGCTGCAACATTCCCCTCTTTCCTCCCTCCTGCCTTCCATGAGACCCTTTGTCACATTCTGGTGATCCAGTTTTGGGTTATGACCCATGGGCTGAGAAGCTCTGAGCTAGACTACGTTGCCTCATAGCATCAGAAAAGAGTGCAAACCCGCACACCAGCAAGGGGATGGGTGGAGATGGAGATGCCATGCCACACAGTCTGGGTCTGCTGTCAGAGCAGTGTGCGAGGAAGAGAAGATGCCAACGTTGGCAAAGCATCCCACAGAATCCTTCGGTACCAGTGGGAGGCTATTTGAAAAGGATGATCTTTAAGTATCAAACCAAAACAGAATATGAAGTGAAAACGTGCTCATGTTTTTGCACGGAAGTGTCGCAAGGAATGTTTTCTAATGGAAAGATGCCCACTCAGGGTGGCAAATCCACACACAATGGTTTTTACATTCGTGTATGAGAAACGGGAAGTGAAACGAACTCTGAAGAGAAAGTGAAACCACCACTTTTCATGGTCCACGCGGAGTGGAGTTCAGAGGATAAAGACATAGCATAAGAGGAGTGAAAAAGTAAAACCTTCATCTGTTCTTCTGACAGTAATTAATGATTCAGGGTGTTACCCAGCCAAGAGTTATTCAGATAGGATTCTATCTTCACAGCAACCCTTCCATTCGTTGCTTTTCATTTTCTATTATTAGAACCGTTCGCTGCCTTGCCCTTCATTTTCAGGTATTTCACCAGTGACTTGTGGTGTGCCGTGATCCTGTCCCCTCTTGCTCCAACCTGTGAGGGTTCAGCCAGTGTTCCCTATGAACTGTGCACTTGTGCACCTCCTCAGGGGACATTCAGACGCAGCCTAGCTGATTAGCAGAGTGCCCACAGCTAGGTTTGTTGTTTCTACCGGTGGTGCACATTTGTACATGCCTCAGTGCACATACATTTATTCTGCACATGGATGGAAAAGATTAGAGGGAACATTGGTCCTGCCTCCTCCCTGGATTGGCCACTATTGCCTTATATCAGTGGCAGTTAATACTAAAGGAAAACACGACCTGAAGAAGCTACAAACCTCCTGCTTCAGGGCATAAGCCAACCTCTGACTACTTACACCATAACTGTTGGCTGCAGGGTTATTTGTGCTTTTCTCCAAAGCAGGTGGCACTGGCCCTTTTCAGAGATCATCACTGTGGGACTTTCCCGGAACCTGCAGGATGGGAAGCAGGATGAAAACCTAGCTCAGTCACATATCTGTACAGATTCCTAGTCCACCACTAATTTTTCACCTCTATATGGGAGGCTTATACCCGAAGGGTCAGGGTATTAAGAAAACCTGGCTTATAGTCCCACTGTATGAAGCTAAATCAATACAAAGAGAACTTGTTTCCGTTTAAAAGGGCAACAAGAAGGGTTGCCCAGACGTAACTAAATTTTGCCAGAACTCCAGTTAATTGAATCAGAGCAATAAGAACTGATTCCCAGAAGTGCCTGAACACCCACAACTCCACGTCAAGTTAGTGGGAGCTACTGGAGCTCAGCTGAGCATCGCACATATACAACATTGCCTATGCATTTATACAGCAAGTCACACTGTTAGAGATCCCCTTGGATTCCCTTCTTGATTTGGAGTTTGATCCAAATTCCAGTGAAGTGAATGAAATGAAATTATTCCCACTGACTTTGGGATGAGGGGGTTAGATCACACCATAAACTGGATGCAGGGAGATGCTTGATGGATACCTATCATCACTTGGATGGGATGTTACCTCTGGAAGTAAAGCAGTCCATGCCTCACTACTTGTCTCCCTGGCCTCGTTTCTCTGTGTTGTTTTAGCCTGTGTTCCAGGTACTGACCTGGAGCCTCTTCTCTTGATTTTAGACTGTTTGTCTTGCTCCTGCACTTTGAGCCTCATTGCTGGCTTGTGAGCCTAATTGCATCATTAAAGGAAGGTAAATTTAGAAAAATACAAGGAAACGCAAACACTGCTTCACACACTGTACAGGCAGCTGCGGGGATTCACTGTTGCCGGAGGTTCTCTAGACCCTCACTAGATTTAATAGAAAAACAAATTACTCCAGGACCAGGAACTGCATTTTGTAGATATACAGGTTAAGACAAAGGGAATCAAGTCTCATTCTTCAGAGGCTAATTGGATTGTCTAGGGTGGCGGAAGGAAATGTTTCCTTTGCCTACATTGCACAGTTGGCTAGATCTACCTTGCACAATTCAACTTGTCTAGGGCAAATAAAAACATCATTTTCCCCCATTGTCACCATGCTAATGGATGGTGAAGCAGAATTGGTGACTGGCCTAGTAAATTCCATAGGGATCTTTAGCTACACTAATGCAACGGCACCTGAGAAAGCCATGACATCCACTGATGCTCTTCAGCCTTATTTGTAATTGGAATAAGCCACACCAGACCAGTGCACTTTTACCAGGGATTTCCATCAGTGCCACTAAACTGGTTAGTAAAACTTCAGTGCAGACAAGACACAATAGGCGTGGGAAGTAAGGATGGGGAGTAAAGCCCCCAGGTTTTGGACTAGCATCTCAACCCCACACCCGTGCTAATCAGGGTTCAAGCCATTGAACCCACTCACTCACCAGTCCTGCTTGGCCAGTGGCCCCTCATATGGGGTAGCCACAGGCCCCATTGCCATCTGGGGATTCTGCTGCCAGCCTGGGTCCCACAGGACCACTGGTCCCATGTCCAGGGGTTCCGTTGCTGACCCCAGAGACCTGGCTGCCAGCTCTGAATTCAGGGTGTCTTGTGATAGTTATGAGCTGAAACTGCCTTGAAACGTCAAGTATTAGCAATTGTTGAAGTTAGATTTTCTGGGACAGGATTCTGGCCTACCACGACAGGCTTTATGTTCCAATAACATTTTGCACCAAACAGAATTTATCTGTCAGCCCACTTATTGTTCTGGATTTTAAACTAGAAATATAAACCCAACAGGGAAGGTTTTGTGCCTGATTCTGATGTGAATTACACTAATAGGAAAACAGGAGCAAGTCCTCTGAAGTCAGAATAAATGGGATCAGAACTGTATGCCTTTAGGTATGCCTAAACTGTATACTAAGCCAGGTCCTGACTCTAGTTTGAGCCCTAAACCTGTCTCCACACACAAAACCGTCTGATTCAGATCTGGTCCCAAGTCCTAGGACTTGTTAGGGGGTAGGTCATGGCTTGAGTGTCCCAGCATCTAGGGTCTAAAGCCATATCATTTTGCAATATAAACACAGCTCAAATCACAGACCTGAGTCCAAAGGTCTGGAGCGTAGATGCATAAGCATGGCTAAGAGACCTGGGGCCTGCCAGTGTAAACCCACATTTACAATGCATTGTGGAGTCCACAAGCTGGACTCCCACTAAGCTGAATGTACAGTGTAAAATTTGCAATGTGTCATCTTCCCCTTCTGCCTAAGCACGCAGCACCCATTTCCTTTCTAGGAAGTTTCTTCTCTTTCTCCCTTTTGATAGTGTTTGTATGCTTTCTGCTTGTTGTGCATAAGGGATTCCAGCCAAGGCTGTTCTCTGGCAGCCTGCAAGCACAGAGGGAGGGGAGCCCGTGGAGGGCAGGGAAAAGAACTGGGGAGGATGTATCACTCCTAGAAGTCGGGTGGTAGACAGAGCTCTCAGGAAGACCTATGCTTGCAGGACTCAATAGAGAAGACAGACAGAAAGCCATGGGATTTTGCAGGACAAAGTCAAATGTGAAGGAGGAGGGGAAAGAGAAAGCCGTGTTCCTGAGGAAGAAGATCACCCTGGTGCGGGCCATTGCACTGACTATCGGCACAATCGTGGGCAGTGGCATCTTTATCACTCCAAAAGGGGTGTTGAAAAATTCTGGCAATGTGGGTCTCTCCTTGATTGTCTGGCTGGCTTGTGGGATCCTCTCCCTGTTTGGTGAGTTGCTTTTCCAATTCTCCTGGTGTGAGCCAACAAGGAGGTTAGCACGTTCAGGCTAGCTGTACACCGTCTAGAGTAATCTCAATCTTTTCCCCCGTGAAAACATGGGGAAAATATTAGCAATACAGTGTGACGAGACTGCAAAGCAACTAAATAGAAAAATAATCTGGAATACTATGGGCAAGGCAGATGTAAATCCGTACAAGGCAGATGTAAATCCGTACAGTCTCAGTTGCATGGGTCAGTGGAGCTGGGCTGATCCTCGCCCACTAAGGAGCTGATCCAAACCCTATTCAAAAATGAGAAAGAGCCATAATTCTTGGCCCCGTAGCACAAAGTCTGCTAGGGGGAGGTGGCTTACCTGGGTTTCAAAGCTGTGGGAAAAGTCAGCTTTCAGAGCCCACAAAGCATGCTGCTATGACAACCCCACGTGGTTGGGATTCTAAAGGGTTCTCTCAGCTCTCCCCTTCCTCATGCTTTTAATGTAAATTTCTAGTCCTTTTCCTTGCACAGGCATGCACGTAAATGTAAAGCAATTGTTAGGGATAACAATCAGTGAGGTTGGTGCTCAGGCCTTGACAGAGCCCAAATGTCTACACTGCAGTTTTATAACCTCAGAACCTGAATCCTAGGAACCAGAGTCAGTTACCACAGGTCTTATATTGCTTTTTAAAATACCATAAGGGTACATCTACACAGCAAACAGCGAGTCTCAGAACCTGGGGACACAGTCTCAATATTGCAGCTCTTGCTTCACATCTTAGGTAGACAGACTAGAGTGCTAAAAATAGCTCAGGCTAGCCAATTTCATCTGTAGGCAGAAGCTCTGGCATGTTCGGACGCAGAGGGCTAGCCTGCAGCACCACCCTTTCTACTATGGGCTACATTGCAATTTTTAGAATAAATGTGTGTCTGTTCACTCAGTCTAGGAAATAGGATACCTCTACCTCACAACTGGGAGCATAAGTCAAAGAGCTGGCTTGATTCTTCACTTCCTTACCTTGCAGAATGATCTGCACCCATGCAAAGGCAGGACAAAATGATGCTACTTGTGCTTTTGTACTGTCTTTTCACGGAGATAAACCATTGTAGATTTAAACCCAGAAGGGACCACAGGGATTATCTATTCTAGCCTCCTGTATAGCAAGGTCATTGGTATTTCCTGAATTCAATTCTGTTTGAATTAGTGTCTCTTAGAAAAACTTCCCATCTCGATTTGCCAGCGATGGAGAATCCACCACAACATGTGGCAGAATGAGGGTAATTAACCACTAGAACAATGTCACAAATGTACTCTTATTTCCTATGCTGAATTTGTCTAGCTTCAAATTCCAACCATTAGAGCATGTTAGTCCTTTGCCTGTCAGACTGAAGAGCCCATTGGCAAATATTTGTTCCCTATGTATGTAGTTACAAAAGCTTCAGGGGATAGCCAAGTTAGTCTGTAGGGGGAAAAAACAACACATGGTTGGGTAGCACTTTTTAGACTAACAAAAAATGTAGATGGCATCATGAGCTTTCATGGGCACAGCACACTTCTTCAGATGAGCGGAGTTTTGAGTTTAGTTTAAGCCTATTTATTTTGGGTCTGCGCATCCTAAACTCAAAACTCTGGTCATCTGCACAAGTGGGCTGTGCCCACAAAAGCTACATGTTTTGTTAGTCTACAAAGTGCTACCAGACCATTTGTTGTTTTTTAATGTAGTTACAGATGATGACCAAGTCACTTCTTAACCAACTCTTACTCAAGGAGTTCAGCGGGCTTTTTAGCAAGCGATAGCTATGCAGCTGATTCTCCAAGTCCAGAACCACAGACTTGTGCTGGCAGGCCTCACATGAGTTGGCGATCTCTGAATCCCTTACTTGCCAACATGGGGTTGGTGCAGAGACCCTATTAGCCTATAGAGATTATGCTTGCTTATGTTATACTAGAAGATTTACCTCAGGAATGGGGAACCTCAGGCTGGGGGCTGGGTACAGCCCCCAGCTTGCCTGGATCTGGCCTTCGAGGCTCAGGACTCTCCTGCAGCATAGCGGAGGCAATGCTGGTGCTCCAGCTCCCTCGCTGTCCCACCATGGGTCTGGAGTGCACAACATCTACTAGCCTCGGCTCCCCTAGGCTTTGGTGTGTGAGAGGAACGTTTTTTTCCTTCTCAGTCGGGGCCACTTCAATGAGAGTTTGCTTTGGTTTTGGTTTTTTTTGCTTCTCACTTGTGTGCAGCCCGCATCTGATTTTTTTCAGTGGGTCAGCGGCCCCCGACCCAAAAAAGGGGCAAGGGGGCACACAGACCTCCCACTAGTGCTCCCTGGGTGGGGGTCTGTGCAGGGGGAGGAAGGAAGGTGGCCACACTGAACAGCATGGCAGGAGCTGTGACTTCTGTGGCAGTGGCTGGGACTGCACTGCCTGGTCCTAGCTGTGCTCCCGGGGGTAGGACTGCGGTGATGGGACCAGCAAGGTTCCCTCCCCTTAGCTCAGCAACAGTGGGACCAAGGGCTGGAGTGTAAAGGTTTGGGGAAGGGAGGCCACTTCACTGGGCTAAAGACTGGCAAGATGATGAGCCCCATCCAGTGCTGGCCACTCCCTTGGTGGTGCAGCATATCCAGTAATCACTCTGCAGTATAGCTGTCCCCTGCATTCACTGCCCTCCATGGTGACTGAGTATACCTCAACGTGCCCATTTTCCTGACATGACCAAACCCTGACCTTGCTTTAAGTTAGGATAAGAGGAAGCTGCATTCCAAATTTGGCAGTCCTAGCTCTTACCATTTAGGAGACATTCTTGAGCAAACAGACTCACAGACAGACGAACTCACAGACAGATGCACAAATCTCGATAGATAGATAGATAGATAGATAGATAGATAGATAGATAGATAGATAGATAGATAGATAGATAGATAGATAGATAGATAGATAGATAGATAGATAGATAGATAGATAGATAGATAGATAGATAGATAGATAGATAGATAGATAGATAGATAGATAGATAGATAGATAGATAGATAGATAGATAGATAGATAGATAGATAGATAGATAGATAGATAAAGTCCAATAACCTATTTCCTAAAAATAGGCTTGACATAATCAAGTGAAGCCTCGTAAAATATGAGTAAAGTGAAGCCTGAGAATAGCTGGGTTGCTGAGAGCCATTGAACCTATTTATGATGGAAACCGCTGCAAGCCAGGAGATACTGCAGCAGCCTCAAAACCCCCAGTTCCAAAACCAATGATGAAGTGAAGTGGGACCATTCAGAAGCAAGTCAGAGATAAATTAGAGCCTCAGGTGAGCATTTTTGGCTCTCACTGGTTATTAAAGGTGTTTAAGATAAAATATTATAGAAAATTATCCCTATCATGACAGTTATTGGTATTCACACAGCTGTTAATTAAAGGGGATTTTAATATTAAATAGCCCTTGAGGGAATGGACAAGGATATTTAAATAATGGAAATGTAGGAGTAGAAATACAGATATGGTCAAAGGTAGCTTTAGTGCTAATTAATGTGGGTGTTATTTGTGATTATAAAAAGGATAGCACCCTAGTTTTAAATGATGTGCACTCATCCACCTGCAAGGCAACATTAGAGGAAGGATTATAGCCATTGTTATCCATTTTCAACTTGTTTCAATACAGAAAAAGAACGTTCACCAGAAGCATTTGAGACAGGTATTGTTAAAAACATTTTCAGAATGGTTTCTACATTTGGAAAGGTATCCTGCTAACCATCATGTAGACATCTATACAAATCAACTGGTGATCTTGAAGCATAGGCCTCATCATTTTCAATAAAATGAATGAAATATTTCACTTCATCTTCAAAAAGATGTGTATGTTCTCTTGGTAGAATTCGTTTAATTTCTTACTGTAGTGGCTTTTAGCATACTTCTGTCAAAAAACATGCAAAATAAGTAAGTTCTCTTTAGAGATTCACCTCTATTCTGCAATTGCAATTTTGTGTCACAAATAACATTGATGATCTCCACGATGCTCTTCTCTTTCTCTTTTGAATTGATTTGTTTCTAGTTCCATTGAAAAATAACTTCCTGTTTTTTTCCACGTCTCATCAACTATATCAGAGAAACCTATATTTTCTGTTAATGCTAGTGCCTCTGCTTCTATGGACCTACAGTCATTTCAAACTTCCATGACAAAACTTGTAAACGAGGCTAACAATTGTGTAGCACTCAAATTTGTATCAACTTTTTGCAGTGATTTGCTGATGGCATTTCTTCTTTGAAGTAAACGGTTCCACAAAATAGTAAAAACAGCTATATCATACTTTTTAAACTTTTCTGCTAAGGATTTTGCTTCAGTTATCACATATGGTTTTTCAGAATTTGATGTGGCTATGTCTAATAAGGTTCTTTATCACATCCTAGTTCATTTTCAAAGCCAAAACAGGATCTGCACAATCAGACCACTTGGTGTCACAAATTCTTGTGACTGTCAAATGTTTTCCATTTGCCTGCTCCAAGTGTGATTGTAGCATACTCCACTGATGTGTAGAAAAAGACAAAAACAAAAAAAGCATACGAGTTTTGAATAAAGTAAAAAAAGTATAGCTCCCTCACAAGAAGCAGCTTCAGCACTGCAGATTAAATTTAAGGAATGACTGGAACATGGTATCAATAAAGCAGAGGGATTTGCATTGTTCAGCCTGGCCTGCAGACCTGAATATTTTCCTGCCATATTTGCAACAATATCAATCAAAGCTTTGCCCATGACAGTTTTTGCTGTCCAAACCTAAATTTGCAATTTCCAAAACCATTGACTCTAAACATTCAAAAGTGTGGGGTTTTAGTCGGACAAAACAAAGAAAACACTCTACAACTTTCAGCTTAAAATTAGTGTTACTTGGTCTACGTACTCACGTCTGGTGTTGAATCGACTATTATGGAATAGTTCTTAGTATCCTTTACTTCATCAGCTAATTGATTTCTGAGCTGATCTGCCATTATAGTAATGAATTCATTGTAGGTTTGATACATTAAAAAGTTGGTCTTCCCTGAGCCACAATACTGATAATTTTTCAAATGTTCACTGAGAAAATTGTCAAATTCACTACAATATTCAAGGCAGGTTACAAAATTGTCTTTTTGATGTGACACTAATGACTCATGTCCTCTTAGAGATAGTCCCAAAGATGACAGCAGTTTCACCATGGCAATAAGTTATCCAATAACATGTCTCAGCACTTTCCTCCAATAAAAACGCACCTCAAACTGAGCCGATAATGCAAAATCAATTCTTCTGGATAAGTTACATCTTCGAACAAACTTACACATAGCATTAATATGAGCGTTGGAAGTTTCATGATCAGCAATATCTCATGCAACATTTCTCCAGTTAGAGTGCCTGTTGACAAATGTTTGTTTTCCTTTACTATGGAAAGGAAATAATTTGCAAACATAACAGAAGACTGCTGTGATGGTTTCTGAAAAAAAAAATCAACCAATTTCTCATTTTGATGGTTCCATTTTTCTTCATCCTCAGAAAATGGGACTCATGAAGACTTCTTAATTGCTTTCATCCTCCAGCTTCATACTCTTTTCTCAAATTTTTGCATATTCCCTATGTTTTTCAGTTTATTTACTACAAAATATTTTATCCTATTCAATGAAATAGATTTTGGCCATAATGCAATGTCTTCAGGGTAGGTTTCTTCCCTTACTTCCACAAAATTACCAATATTTTGTAGTTCCATTGCCACTTCAGAGTCCACTTGTTCAACTTTTGCAGTTATCGTGGTAACCCTACAACTCAGCAAGTGATCAGATAATTGAGAGGTTTCCTCACCCATACTTTTTGATGACTATCCTCTGTTCAGTACTTCAAGATTTGTACAATAAAATGAAAAACTTTCTTTTTGCTTAGCTTCATCTTTTTGCCTCACCTTCATTTTTTTGCTAAAAGCTGATCTTGATTTTTACACAGATTAAATGTCTGAAAGAGCAAGGATGTAGCTACGGGTGGGCTGTGGTCTGGCCCATCCATTCCCCAATTAAGTTTACCACCAGTGGCACTGGAGCATTTTTAATAATGGGGTGCTGAAACCCAACCCTTGTCTCTCATAGGCATAGGTCCAAGCCTGGTTGCAGGGCATTGGCACAGGAACTTAGGGTTCAGGCAGGGCTGCTGACAGAATAGCCAGGTCCCTGGGAAAGAGGGGAAGCAGGTATGGGTCCCCAGAAGGGTGGGACCTTAGGTGGAAGGGGCAGAGCTGGAGGCCTAGTGCAGGAGCAGAGCAGCCATGGTGGGGCTCGAGAAGACAACTGACTGAGGAGATTCAAAGATGACCGTGGAGAATAGCTTCAAGCACCCCAGTGGCAGAGAAGTGGGCATAATTCCATCATCCACCTGAACACCCCCCCACCCGCCCCAGGCTCTCCATCCCCCAAATGCTCTCCCACTCACCCGTGGGCTGCAGTCACTCACCAGGTGGCAGCCGATGGCAGCACAACATCTCAGGGGCTGGAGAACTCAGGAAGAGGGGGCAGCACAGCCACTTGCCAGAGAGAAGCAGTGCTTTTCTGCTTCAAAGCGCCACTTTTCTCCAGCTGGCTCTGCAGCTGCCCTGTGCTCTCCTGAAGCCTTCTAGCTTGTGTTCGCACTGCTTGCTGCTTCCTACCTGCTCTCCAGAGGCTGCAGCCTGCAGGCAAACCTCCCTGCTCTCCTGCCACTTTCCCCTCCCCCTTGTCCTCTCTGCCGAGGGATTGACACCCCTCCAGAGTGGCCACCCCCAGCGTGGGAGGAGGGGCAGTGTGTTGGTCCCAGCGCTGGACTGCCCAGCCCTGGGGACCCTGTGTTGTTGGGAGCAGGGCCATGCCAGGGTATGGTATGTTTTATTGTAAATCCACCCAACTATCACTCATTTGTGTCATTCACAGGCCTCCACTAAATTACATCATGTGTATCCATGCTGGAGGCTTGAACCTTGAACCAGTCTGGTTTTATGCCTTGTTTTTCAAACTACTAATTGGGAACACAGAAATCATAATTGAAGGGGGGTGCAGAGGGTCAAAGCTCCTACAGTGCCTTGCACTTGTGTGTAGCACAAAGTCTACAGAGAACCGTAATGAGGACAAGGTGGAGGAATAAGTTAGAGAGTTGTTTTTTTCTTTACAAAAAAAAAAAAAAAAAAGAGTAAAAAAAAAATTAAATCAGAATGAAGCCTTCAGTTAAGTGGCAAATTTGGAGCTGCTCCAAAGCTCATTAGTGTCTTTTCACATTAGAACAGGCCCTGTGAGGTAGACAAAAATTCTCTCCAGAGATTAGTCAGCAAGCCAGAAAAAAACCCAACAACTTTTGTTTGGGAACAAAGGAGGACTTGAACACACGTGTCCTGAGCTACAATACCAATTTGTTAGCCTACTGCATGCCCAGACTGCTGGGGAGCTGAAGTCCCAGGTTAAGACTCTGTTTGCTGACAGTACACATGTATACTGTAAACACATGTGGGTGTGTCACTAAATGCAAATCACAAATAGTCAATGTATAGGGGCCTACTATAAATTTGCTGTGCTTGTAATTCATATTTAGCGGCAGGCTGTTCTCCACCATACTTGTGGCACACGCACAGGAGGCTGGACAGGATATAAAGCAGCCGTTTCCTGTAGGGCATGGCGCACTAGAGTCACTGCTCAAGCCACAGGCAGGAGTGACGGTAGAAGGTTCTAAAGTCTAGCACTTTATCTGCCCTGTGCAGACCCTGTTGGTGAATTGGGTACCTTTTCAAGCACACTACCAGGGGCTAAGCGAGGCGGTTAAAGTGCAATCCTTTAGACTGCTCTACAGTTTTCACACCACCAATAATCAGGATGAATTCCAAGAGGCGGATAGGCCCTGGGCACAACGCAACAGGGATCAGTGCCCCCCAGTTCACCTCTCAAGGCATAGTGGGAGCAGAGAGAGGGAGAAGTCTCAGTCATTTCTGGTGGGAGGGGCAGGGAGAGGTCACAGCCAGTACCTCTCCTCTTCCTCCTCCTCCCCAACCAGTGCCAGACCAGGGAAGGGCAAGTGGCACTCAGTAGCTGGTCAGTACAGAGCGAGTTGAAATGCTGCAGCCAGGACCAGGTAGGGACGTGTTTGGGCAGGAGCCATCAGAAGCCCAGTGAGGGACCACCCAGGTGGCATAGCCCTTTTCAGGGAGCAGCATCTCAACAGAGGCCAGGTTCTGTTGGGAGTCAAACCACAGCCCCCTCCCAGCTCCCTTGTTGCCTCTATCTTCCTCCCATCTCCCCCCACTCCAACCCTGCTCCTCCCATCTATGGCAGGTAAAGTGCCCTTCTTGCCCCCAAGTTCACCAGCCACTATGGTATATAATCAAGCTGTTGTGTATTTTGTGGCCTCTTCACACTTAAGAAAGCCCAGGCCTCAACAGCAGCTACTATTGTCTCAGAGGAAGGGTGATCTCATGGACTAGGATGCAATAGATCTGGATTCTGTTTCAAACCATTGATTTCCTGGGTGACCGTAGCACGTGTCAACCTCTCTCTGCCTCAGTTTACCAATTCTGAGGAGAGATCAGCCCCTGGGCAAAGTGGGCCGGGCTGCCTTCATGCTTCTGGAAGGGACGTGGCCTCCGGTGAAAGGAGCAGGGCCAAGGCATCCAGCCCACAGTGCTGCCGAGACCGTGGAGTACCCTTCCCCCTCCATCAGCCCTCAGCGCCGCTCAGAGCTCCAACGGTGATTTGAAGGACCCAGGGCTCTGGCCACTGCTTCTGCCACAGTAGCAGCAGAGGCAGCCAGGAGCCCTGGACCCTTTTGAATTGCCGGGCTCTGGGGCAGTTGCCCCCTAGTCACCTCAACCTCCTGTCAGCAGGTCTAGGAGAGGTTGTAATAGTCCATTCTGCTTCTTCTTCCTTTCTGACACTGGCATTCTTCACATCCCCCTGCGGGCCTTCAGATCACCTGTTCCTGGATCCTCATTGTAGTTTTGGTCCATGACAAGAAGACCTTGTACTCTCGGGTGAACATGACCTTGGTCATGACAGCTCTTCAGGAACATCACCTTGTTTATATAGACTAAGTTCTGCATGGGGAATGTCACTGGGTGATTGTACATTTAGGGCTTGCAGGCACTACTGTAATATCAACCAATATTTTCCCCTACTTTTTCTCTAGGTGCACTGTCTTATGCAGACCTCGGAACAAGCATCACAAAATCTGGGGGCCATTACATCTACCTCCTAGAAACCCTGGGGCCTTTGCCAGCATTCTTAAGATTGTGGGCTGAATTCATTATGATCCGGTAAGAACGGTTCTGCTTCCCATAGATGTATAAGGACAGGAGTGACATGTCGTTGTTGTTGTATTCATAGTCTCCTCTCTTTGATGCTGTTTGGTGCAGATTCCAACTGTGTGGCTATCGGAGTGAGCTGTTGAATGCAAAACTGTAGCAAGCACATAGCCTTCCAAATGGCTAGAGGGAGGATAGAAGGGAAAAGAGGGAGGGAAGTTAAGATAGGGAAATGGAGGGGGCACAGGAGGCAGAGGGAAAAAATGAAAGGGTAAAAGGTAAAAAAAAAAAAAAGAAGAAGCGAGAGGAAGAATAAAAAGAACAGCTTGCAGCAAATGTGGGAACGAGACAGATGGACATTTTCCTGCAATCTGCCAACACAGCTGGGTTTTCTGGCAAAGGGCTCCATGCTCCTTAGAAATCTGTTTGATGTGTGACCTTCTCCTCTCCCAACTGGCCCCCAAGTCCAATAGCTGCTGGATAAACAGAAGTGTCTGCTGCAGCACATCTGGGCTTAGCCGTAAGGTCTGCCCCCTTAGAGAATGAGATCACCGCTTACGCAACGAACCCCTGCAGCCATGGGGCAAAGTAACCAACCCTCTCCTCAAAGGGTACAAGAGATATTTTAAAACCCACATTGTTTTGCCTGTTAACCTTGCCTGTGTTCATAGCCATAAAAAATAAGAGAGGTCACAGGCTGAATGGAAATGGAGTCTGAAATATCCTCTCATGCTGATTTACCCATCTGTCTAGGCTCTATACAGCCCTCATCAGCAAAGCAGCCCCAGTTCCCAAGTGATACCTACATGCCCCAGGGTGAGGGGAAGTGCACCAGTAGTGGGTGAGGCATGCACAGCTACACACAGCACAACATGTTTTATTTCATGACCATGGCATGGTCACCTCTCTGCGTGGGCTTTACAGCAGCACAGTTCAGAATGCTTAACATCTGCAGCACATATAGCTGAGGCAAACAAAAGGGGATTCATCATACAGTGCTAAATGATTGTCTAAGTACAATCTCTAGCTCTTTTTCCATGGCTGGAGGGTGGGGAGAAGCACTCAGCTCCTCAACTCAAGGTTAAAACATCTCCTAGGGAAGCAGCAATTGAAAACAGACCCACTCCAGTGGCTCCTCAGGGGCCTGACTGTGCTGCGTTAGTAGCATCAGCCCCTTTCCAACACAAAATAAACTCAGACTTTAAGGTCAGAAGGGACCATTATGATCATCTAGTCTGACCCCCTGCACAGTGCAGGCCACAGAATCTCACTCACCCACTCCTGAAATAATCCTCTCACCTATATCTCAGATATTGAAGTCCTCAAATGGTTTAAAGACCCCAAGATGCGGAGAATCCTCCAGCTGTGATCTGTACCCCATGCTACAGAGGAAGGCGAAAAACCTCCAGGGCCTCTGCCAATCTACCCTGGAGGAAAATTCCTTCCCGAGCCCAAATATGGCAATCAGCTGAACCCTGAGCATGTGGGCAAGACTCACCAGCCAGACACCCAGGAAAAGTTCTCTATAATGACTCCTATCATCCCTCCATTGGCCTATTTACCACTGACCATTGATCTATTTCCCACTGATAATGAATGGTCAGTTAGTTACCAAGATCATGTTATCTCATCAAACCATCCCCTTCATAAACCCATCTAGCTTAATCTTGAATCCAGATAAGTCTTTTGCCCCCACTACCTCCCTTGGAAGGGCGTTCCAGAACCTCACTCCTGTAATGGTTACAAACCTTTGTCTAATTTCAAGTCCAAACTTCCTACTAGCCAGCTTATATCCATTTGTTCTTGTGTCCACATTGGTATTAAGCTTAAATAATTCTTCTCCCTCCCTGGTATTTATCCCTCTAATATACTTAAAAAGTGCAATCATGTCCCCCCTCAGCCTTCTTTTGGTTAAGGTAAACAAGCCAAGCTCCTTGAGTCTCCTTTCATAAGACAGGTTTTCCATTCCTCGGATCATCCTAGTGGCCCTTCTTTGTACCTGTTCCAGTTTGAATTCATAATTCAAAATAAAGATGGGCCAGAGGGCAGGGCACTTGCCTGAGACTCAGGGGACCCGGATTTGATGCACGGCTCCACCACAGATTTTCTGTGTGACGCTCTCTCCCAGTCCCTGTCTGTTGAATTGGTATCATCACACTTCCATGCCTCCCAGGGGTGAGGCAAGGACAAGAACATTAAAGGCTCAGATACTGTGGTAAGAGGGCACATTAGTCCATTGAATAGGTAAATGGCAAGAACGGCTGCCCACACAGTCAGCTCCCAGTTGCTGCAGAAATGCTGGATGGTCATGGAGACACTTCCCCTCTTGCCCCTGGTGGTGGTCCCCGCAGGTTCACGTGGTGAGGCAGCCTGGCAAACTCCAACAGTACAGAGTTCACTGAAAAGAGGGGCTGGGGAGGAATTAAATCCAGGTTCATGACCCTTCTCAGCTGAAGAGCAGGGAGGGCACCTCACACTGTGCGCTGGGAATTACCCCACCTTGCCTCAGTAGCCACAGTCATGCTAGTTCTCATCAAGCTGCCGTGCTAAAAATTGTGTCATCACTGTGACTGGCCAGCTGTCCTGAGAACGTATCTTGCCTCTCAGTCAGGAGCGTACTCACCCTTTGCACTACTGCAGCCACACCGCTAAGTCTCAGCAAGCTGGGAATCAGGCCCCAACTCAAAGTATAGGCATACGCGTATGCTGCACTGTCCCTTACCTCCAACAGCGAGAGAAATCCCGTGTCCTACAGCCTCAGGAAGAAAGTGAACAGACAGAGCTGAAGAAGTACCTGTACCTGCTCCGAGAAGGCCGTCTCCCAGTCCCCACGTTTCACTGGTGTTAAAAGAAATCTGCGCCTGTTTTTCTCTCCAAATCCCCCTGTGAGGGGAGACACACCCAATTAAGGAAGAAGCTAATGAGCTAGGTGAGCACTATCTAGACACACCTGACAGGCTTGCTCAGCCTGGAGGAAGGAAAGTTATTAGAAAGGAAGGCCTGCCAGCACAGGACTCAAAGGCAGCCAGTTCCAGTGACAGATCAGCAAAGGAGATGGTTATTGAGCCAGAAGGCTCCTGAGACTGTTTGAACCAGGTAAGTACTAGCTGTTACTAAAAAGAAGGCTAAGGAAGGCCTCCAACCCTGATTAGCACAATAAAAAGCCTACAGACAAGCCAAGACCCTGAGGCGTGAGAGAGAGACGGACCAAGAGACTAAACACATTCAACCCCAACCTGCCTTTCAGTGAGGGGAAAGGCAGGCTCATCTCTCAGAAAGACTCTTGTTTACCGCCCAGGCAAGGGAAGGATGCAGGGTTTGTCTACACTAGAAGCATTTCTGTTAGGAGAACATGAATGCAGCTGCACCACGGCAGTGCGTCTGGGGAAGATGTTCTATGCCAACGGGAGAACACTTTCTTATCGGCATAATGGACCTAGCTTTGGGAGAGGCGGCAGCTACATTGGTAGGAGAAGCTTTTCCTCTCATAGGGCACTGTCCACACCATCAGGCTGGTGTAACTTATGTCGCTCAGGGGGTGGCTTATTTGCAATCCTGAATGACACAAGTTACACCAAAGCACGTGACAGTGTAGAGCTGGACTCAGTGTCAGAAAGGAACCAGCATGGCCTGGACAAGAATTCAAGGGCCAAGACCCATCCCAAGTAGTGAAGAATGCCGGCAATTTACACCCCATGAAAAGAAAACAAACAAACCCTGGGAGGGGAGAGGGAATAGAATGCAGCAGATCTGAGCAAGATGGAGCCCAGCAGTGGTGGATGTGGTTAGCTGAGAGGCAGGGCCTACAAGCAGCTCCCAACAGTAGTTCCAGGAGCAATGGCTGCAGCAGTGGTTCATCCAACTTCTCCAAACAAGGCAACAGCTGCTGAGGGAACTGATGGCCCAGCAGCAGCAGCAGCAGTTCCACAAGGACATGACACAACAGATGGTATGACCCCTGTGCTCTCCAGGAGTCCCTGTGGGGCACACTTCCACCCAGCTCAGTCCCCCTCCAGTGCCCAGAAGGCTCAGCGAGATGGGGCTGGACAATGATCTTGTCACCCATTTAAGTCTTTCCAGTATGTAGCCTGAGAGGGCTTTGATTTTGGCTCCCTGCTCTGTGGATCTAGCCCAGGCAGCCTAGCATCAGCAGGGCTCAGAGCAGGGTAAGCACAATAAGTCAAGTCGACAGTTTTGGACTATTTGGACTCTTGAGATAACCCACAGTCAGAGATTTAGATTCAAAACCACTCCCAGGGAGGCCAGACCCTGCCTAGTAGCTCCCATAATCCTCCATGCTGCATTGCTTGGGAGATGGGACAAGAGGGCAGAGGTGGAGCAGGAGGGGGGTTTGGGGAAGGGGTGGAGTGAGGGTGAGGCAGGGCCTGTAGTGGGCAGTGGTTACCCCAGGCCTCCCTCAGGATGGCCCAGGCTGTCACTTTTGTTCCATCCTGTCAAGTAGGAGATATGATCTGGACAGAGGAACAACACAGGTATTTCCCCTGGCTAACATGCTTTGAATTTATATTTTGCTTTCCAGGCCTGCCAACATTGCAGTGGTTTCCTTGGCTTTTGGTCGTTACTTAATTGAGCCTCTCTTTGCCCCTTGCCATGCCCCAGCCCTGGCTGTGAAGCTGGTCACTGTCACTGGTGTCTGTGAGTAACCCTGAAAAAACAATCAAAGCAAAGCAACAGGTTTGGGGAGAGGAAAATGAGGAGGCTCAACAAGCTGTTTTCTGCCTGTGGCAGGAAGGTCTCCCCTTTCCCATGTCTCTGCCAAGCCCCACACAAAGCAATTGGACACTCTATAAATATTCATCTGTAATGTCAACATCCTGCAACTGCTCCTCTCAAGATAGTCAGCATTGTTTACCCCTGTTAGTCTAAGTAAGGGAGGAAAGGGAGGGGAACCTTATACCTTTGAGGCAGTCTAGACTACAGGCTTTTGTCGACAGAAGTTTTGTCAACAGATACTGTCAACAAAGCTTCTGTCGACAAAGAGTGTCTAGACTACATCCAGTTCTGTGGACAAAGCAAGCCACTTTGTCGACATGACAATGTAGACGCAAAGGACAGTGTAGATGCAATAACGCCTTCTGTCAACAGAACTCTGTCGACAAAAGGCATTATTCCTTGTAGGGTGTGTCTAGACTAGAGGGTTTTGTCTAGACATAGTCGTAGAATTATGTTTACAGCCATCGACAAAACTGCTGAGTTCTGTCAACGTTACATCGACAGAACTCAGTGGCAGTGTAGACACGGGGATAGTTTGGTCGACAAAAGTCCACTTTTGTTGACAAAATCCTGTAGTCTAGACACACCCTATAATGTCTGGCATAACAGGGTCCTACTCCTGACTGGGGCTTCCCAGTGTTACAACCAAATAAATCCACAGCTAGAGCAGTAGAGACCAAGGACACACTGTGTACATAAAGGACATAAGATGTTCATAGGAGTGTAAGGGGCCCAAATCCATGGGTTTCAGTACAGCTTGAACATCTCTCTCACATTCGAGAGTTTGAAAATCTTCCCCCAAAACAGTCAAATCCCTCCAAGCATGTAATGTGGAGTTCCAACTAACAATATAAAGGACTAGTTGACTAGTCGCTCCCTCCACCCCTTGCTGCCTCTATTAGATAGAGGCAGCAAGTCGGGGGGAGGAGAAACGGGAGGTACTTAAAAGCAGCAGCGCCACATGGAACCTAGGGCCCAGCTGATCCCAAGCTCCAAGTGGCACTGTTGCTTTGAAATGCCGGGTGGAGCCCAGGATTAGCTAGGGACTCCCTAGATGACCATGCACTCCGTGCAGCACTGCCACTTTGAAATGTACAATAGTTCCCAGCGAGGGCTCTTGTGCATTTCAAAGAGGAAGTGCAGCATGGAGCCTGGGGCCAGGGCAGGGCTCTGAGTCCCGCTGGCTTACTTCCACCTTTGCTCAGTAGTGAACTCAGTATATTCCAAGTAGATTCTTCAGGTCCATAGGGAGAGATTATTACTTCCCTCCTTCCTGAGGGGGTTGCCAGAGTCCACAAAACTGCAACAATATTGAAAGCCAGTGCAACTTGTTCCCAGCTCTCCCCATCCCTGAATATCACAGGGGTGAGATTATTTCTGACAGATGCATTTTCCAGCTTGTATCTCACCTTAGTTATTTCCTCTCCAACATGGGTGGTTGGTTTAGGAAGGGCTGGGGGAGGCAATGCCCTATGTCCACCCCCAGACCCACCCTTTCTGGTGGGGCCCTGCACCCCACAGGAGCCAAGCTGCCTCCCTGTCCCCCCACCACAGGGAGGTGGCGCAGCATCACACTCCCTGCCCCACCACCACAGGGAGTGGGGTGGGCAGGTGCATGGCCCCAGCCTCCACGGGCCTGGAGCATGGGGAGGGCAGGTGCTGGAGGCACCAATACTCTGTCCTCAGATCGCATACAGAGGTGTTCTGGGGACGGAGTGTGGACAGGGTGAGGCTAGAGGTTTGGGAAGGCTGTGCTTTCCCCTGCTTAGGCTACTGGCCACCCGTGATCTCCAAGTTGTTAATCTCTTTATGTCCCCTTGTATTATTTCTGTCCTCTCTGTTGTTTTCACCATGTCACAGTTCAACATCCTCTAAAAACACAATTAACATTAATGGTGCTTACACTGTGTTCCTGATCATTCATGATGATATTGAATAAGATGGGATCCAATCTTATTTCCTACTGTACCTCAACTAAACACTGCCCCACACACCCATCCCTTGCCACTTATCCCAGAACCGTAGGGTTAGAAGGGACTGCAAGGGCCATCCAGTCCAACCCCATCTCAAGACCCTCTACTTAGTGCCTTCATATCAGGTTTCTGTCCACGTAACTAACATTGTTCCGTCACTGCTTCTCCTTCCCTCCAAGCTTTAATCATTGCTCTGAACTGCTGGAGTGTTAGCTGGTCTGCAAACATACAGACAGTTCTCGCCTTCCTCAAGATGGTCACCATTGGCCTGATTATCGTCCCCGGGATGATGGCGCTAGCTGAAGGTAAGACAACTGTAGCCTGCATGTGACCTGAGGCAGGAAGAGGAGGTAGAGGAGGCCTAGGGAGAGGCACAGACATACAAGAAGGGAGCTAGAAAGTGGAGAACAGAGTCAGAAAGCGAGAGGAAACTTTAGCCAGGAGGAAATCTCAACTGGAAAAAAAAAAAAAAAAAACACGCTTACCTGTGTCCTGCCCTCAGGCCATTTCTCTTGCACTGCCCTTCAGCTCTCCTTTGGTTTGCCAAGGGAACCAAATCCAAGCAGCCTTTCCAAAAATCAGCTGTCTTGTTTGAATGGATGTCTGCTCATTTGCCAAGTGAGGCAGTGCATGACAGGAACATCTGAAATAGAATGGAAGCAGCACAATCAACATGCAGACATAGCTCCCTATGCCCCACTTTGCTTTGTCCATTGCACCACGTCACCTCCTTAAATGTTACCATCTCAGGAGCAGCAGTAAAACAAGAGATACAGCACCTTAGAACATGAACTGCAACCACCAAGGCACATGATGAAAATAAGTATTTTACCCCAGAGCGTCCACCTTTCCTCCACCCCTCAATCACATAACCAGTTCTTGGCCACGCTGCTCCAGACTCACTTAGGATGGGTGGTGGTTAATATCCTTTCCCACCTGGATGAAGGAGATGAAGGCTGCATGTCATTGCATCAATTGCTAGTCTAGCAGGTGATGCAGGCTTGGAGATATTCCATGAAAACTCAGTGTAGGTTTAAGCTCGTCTTTGTGAAAAATGTGAAATGGAGGTGTTTTCAGCCTGCAGCCAATCTCTGGCATTGATGGATTGCCCATCATTTAACAATACTAGTTCTCTCTAGACTGATGTTGGATCAGAGAGGCATCTTTAAGCTAGCAGACAAAGGTGTAATAAAATCTAACAGCCAGAAGTTGAAGCTAGATAAATTCAGACAGAAAGTAAGGTGTCTTTTTAACAGTCAAGGTAATTAATCACTGGAACAAGGATTCTTCATCCTTGAAGCCTTTAAAATCTTCTAAAAGATGTGCTACCTCACCCTGCATTAATTACTAGGTGAAAAATCTATGCTCTGTTATGCGAGAGGTCAGAGGAGATGATCATAAATGGTCAATTTTTTCCTTAAAAGCTATGAAATTTGGTAAGACATTTTAGATTGGATCTGGAGAGTTTTAGAGCTAGCACTGTGTGTCAGAGCGATGGCCGTGGCTTTGCTGGTTGAATACTTAGCACCAATTTCCAAATCATCAGATTTATTTGTCGTACTTCCATCTCCTCTTAGGTCACTATGAGAATTTCCAGAATGCTTTTGACACTAGGTCGCTGTCTCTGGACAAGCTGCCGCTGGCTTTTTACTCTGGAATGTTTGCCTATGGAGGATGGTAAGCTTCCATATCCCTATGGGACAAGATCTATTCGAGTTACTGATGAAAGCCAGATAAGTCCCAAAGCATTCAAAACTGCAGTACGGGGCTTGTGTGAAGTCACAGATTCAAAGGCACCCCAGGATTAGCAATGACTGAGGCACTATAGTGGCTGTTTGCCTGTCCCCTAGACACTGGCTTGAGATCATTTAACTTAGACAAATTGTCATTCAAGTGACAAATGAAACTGTGCTCTATCTTAAATGTTACCAAGGAAGATAACCTCAGAAAGAAAAGAAATTGATTTTGCAGGGTGCAAATTGGAGAACCTAAGTTCTTAAATGTGGGTACCAGGGGGGAGAAAGAAGTTTCTTCCCTTACTATCACCCTTAGGAGGAAGCATTTGACTTTTGCTGCAGAAAGTGTCTATATTTATCTAGTAAGCTGCATGGTCTAAGAAAAGATGCCCTCTATTCTGGAAGCAAACTTCCAGATGCAGCCCAGGAAGGGCAACAGATGCATAACCCGTTCCATCTCACTCTTCAACGTCCTATCTGGAAAACGGAATCCCAGGTCCAGATCCCTTTTCTCTTCTAATTACAGGTTCTATGTCAACTTTGTAACTGAAGAAATCATAAACCCTGAAAGGTGAGTGCCATGGGCAGCTGCTTGAATTCATTGCTGGTAAATCAACAAACTTCTGAAGAGAAGCTGGATTCCTCTGCCCCAAAGTTGGAGCAAGCATCGTAACAAGCTGTGAGAGGTACACACTCACTGCAGCGCACCACCACACTGATTCACAGATGTCTGAATAATTTTCATACTGAGATTTGACTTGGGTACAATTCATTTCTGCACATTCCGGATGTTGTCATGTTGGAGCAGAGCAGAGGCCCATCAAATCCTGTGACCTGGCTTTGGTGGCAATGGTAGTGAGCCTGATGATTCGGTGGAGGAGGCTGTGTGGCAGGGGCAGGATTTTTTCTTGACCCCCCTATTAAAGGAAGACAAATTGTTAACAAACTGGGGGGGGGGGTCATTCTCTTGGTGAACACACTAGTTGAAAATTGGGCTTGGTTAGTGCTTTCGGTACCCATTTGCATGGTGCTGTACAGGCTGACTCAACCCTCTGTGAAACAAAGTTACAAGAAGCACCTGTTGTTGTTGTATCCCAGGATAGTAAGTCACCTGAAGAACTCCATGTCAGCTGGACAGCCTTATCTCTTTCACCAATAGATCCAATAAAAAATATTACCTCACCCACCTTGTCTGTCTAATGAGCACCAAGGTAGGAATTTTATCCCATTGCCAGGTAATATGAAGGGATAAAGAAAAGACTTCCTGAGAAGGGGGGGGGGGGGGGAGATATTCAGAGCTGATCCAAGTGAAGATCCCTTTGATTTTTCCCTTTACAGTGGGATTCATTCTTATAGTAAATTGTGGTTTAAAATAGGGACCTAAAGTAATCCCCAATTCCCATAGCTATTCTCCATCACCCACTGGTGCCTAAAGTTAGTTGCTTTAGTCTATGAGTTTTGGATCATCATAAGATGTCTTGTTAGTGCAATAGAGGATGAAGGAGACCTACTCACATTAGTATCTCTTGATTAGGAAGGACTATTTTAAGCACAGCTCTCATCTTCCCAAGATATGTATGGATACTTTGGAAAAAGGTCTGAACTGAGAGCCACATGAAAAAAAATGCCACTGCAAGGAAATTAACAATTTGGTACCATACCAATTTGGTACTATAACGTCATTCTCACTATTCTGCATTTATATAACCGACAACCTACAATAATAACCAGAGATACAACACAGACTCTAGAGCTGGACAGGACACTGTTTTCCCATTCTGGGAAATTTTGATCAGAATCTCAGATTTTTCTTGTTCTGAATCAGGATGAAATGTTGAAATCTCAAATTTTTCTGAACTACCAACTAAGAAAACTATTTGGCTGTGTCTACACTGGCATGAATTTCCGGAACTGCTTAAAATGGAATACTATTCCGTTTTCAGTTTTTCTGGAAAAGGAGCATCTACATTGGCAGGCTGCTTTTCCGGAAAAGCCCTTTTTCCGGAAAAGCGTCTGTGGCCAATGTAGACACGCTTTTCCGGAAAAGAGCCCCGATCGCCATTTTCGCGATCGGGGCTTTTTTCCGGAAAAAACTACTGGGCTGTCTACACTGGCCCTTTTCTGGAACAGTGTTCCGGAATAAGGACTTATGCCCGAGCGGGAGCAGAATAGTTTTTCCGGAATAGCGGCTGATTTTGTACAGTAGAGCGTCATTGCTTTTCCGGAAATTCAAGGGCCAGTGTAGACAGCTCGCAGCTTATTCCGGAAAAGCGGCTGATTTTCCAGAATAAGTGGCCCAGTGTAGACACAGCCTTTCACTTTGAGTCAATTGAAATAATTTCATTTAGCCATTTTCGGAGATTCCATTTTGCCTTTATTTCTCTCTAATTAGGGAAAATTTCTAACACAAAGTCATTTCAAACCAAAACCAGATTTTTCCATGTTGCAAAAGTCAAAATGGGATGGCTCAACAATTCAAAATGTGTCCAAAAAATAAGAAATTCAAACCAACCATTTCTCACGAAAAATTCTGGTTTTGACAAATTTGCATTTTTCAGTGAAAAAATGTGATATTGCAAATTCCCAACCAGCTCTGCTAGATTCATGTGGGCTAGAGGAAACCCTGATGGACAGGCAAGAGGTGCGATAAAAGGGCTGTTTTTATTCTATTGTAGGAATATCCCACTGAGCGTGATAGTGTCCTTGCTCATCGTCACTCTAGGATACCTTCTCACTAACGTCTCCTACTACACAGTCCTGACAGCAGAGGAAGTGCTGGCCTCTGAGGCTGTGGCTGTGGTGAGTGTGGTCCTTTGTGTTTATTGGCTATTGCAGTGTAACTCAGATAGTTCACATCTGGGACCAGAGGGGCTATTGGAGAGAAGCCAGAAAGACATTAAAGGAAGGAACAGATGGCAGATTCTTATGCTCGGAGCACATGTCTGTTTAAATATCTGGTGAGAAGGAAGAAGCATAAAGGAGAAGCTCTAGGAATAGTGTCACTCTCATAAGGCATCTTGGTCCTCTTTAGCAAGATATATACTTACAGCCACTGTATTGCAGGGGCTTGCCCTAAACTTTTCATGGAGTTTCCGTGATCCCTCATCCCTCAGTCTTGCAGACTATGACACTATATAAAGGCCCCTATACGGACACAGGTTTGCTCCTTCCTCCCTGCAATTTTTCTGACGTGACACATCTGTTGGATTGCATGTAAGGGTGTGTCTAGACTACAGGGTTTTGTCGACAAAACTATACCTGCGCATCTACATTGCCGTTGAGTTCTGTCGACATAACGTCGACAGAACTCAGCAGTTTTGTCAATGGCTGTAAACCTCATTCTACAAGGAATAACGCTTTTTGTCGATAGAGTTCTATCAACAGAAGGTGTTACTGCATCTACACTGTCCTTTGCGTCTACACTGTTATGTCAACAAAGAAGCTTTGTCGACAGTATTTGGCGACAAAACTTCTGTCGACAAAAGCCTGTAGTCTAGACATTCCCTAAGGTTCTCTTGCCTCTTAGCAATAATGGAGATGGGATTATCTGGAGGTCATGATAAACCTGGGTTTTTTAACCAACACAGTTACAGAAACAAACAGGTGAGATAGGCTAACTCACCCTGAAAAACTGAGGTCTCTATTTTTCCCCCCAGAGCTTCACAGACAGAGCTTTTAAGAGCATTTCCTCAGCAATTCCAGTCCTGGTTGCTCTGTCCTGTTTTGGTTCTCTGAATGGAGGAATTTTTGCCGCAGCAAGGTAAAAGCCTGTCCTTTCTAAAACCAGACCTCTCTTGCAGCTAATCTGCAGTTCAAACTCTTCTTTTTACAGCCTTTATCTGCTTAAAACCTTATGTAAATCAATGGACTGAGACTATTGATGGACTAAGAGTGAAAAGTTTACCAAAATTTAACCTCCCTGGATACACAATTACAGACTTAGGAATTGCCATCCTCAAGCAAAACAACATCAAAACCTGGCTGCAACCTGAAACTGTTGAGTGACAATTCATATGCAAATTTGACACTATCAGAATGGGTCTGAATAGGGAATGGCTCTCTCATTACAATAAGCAATTTACCACTTTAGGTATTCTCACCTTCTTATCCCCATCCACACTGATTGAATTAGCTCTGATGTAACACACCCCTCTCCCTCTCCCTACCCTACTGCCTATTTCTTTTTCTTTCACTTCACGCACCTGATAAAGTGATTTGCAATTCATCAAAGTTTTTGCCCTAATAAAATCGTTCGTCTTTAAGATGTCACTGGACTCCTTGCTATTGTCTTCTAAGGTGAACACCTGAAGCTTGAGGGAAAACTCAAAAGCCAGGGAACTGCAACATACTCATTGCTGTATCATGAGCTCCTGCTGCTGGTGGTGATGAGTAATATTGTATCTGCCTTGGTTTCTACAGCAGATCAAAAATGTTTCAGCTTTCTTTTCATGACAACAACAAAACAAACCCTTGAAAACAACGCCGCTTCATTTCCACTTTACTTTCTTCCTCTGAAAAAGTAGACAAAACATTAAAAAAATATTTTCGTTAAAAATCCAAAAATGTAACTAAAATGCTGTATGAAGTAGATTTAGCTTTTTTTCATCCAGTTCTACTGGTTTCTTTCTAACAGGATGTTGTTTGCAGCTTCCAGGGAAGGACAGTGGCCACCGCTTTTCTCCCTGATCCATAGCCGAAGAAATACCCCCTTGCCTGCCCTTTTATTAATGGTGAGCAGAACTTTCTAGATTCTGAATGAGGCTTGAATGTTTTTTTACCTCTTCTTCCTTGAGAATGAACACACCTGCCTCCCCCAATTGGGTAATGTACTAAGGTAGTATTAGACAACACTGAGATGCACCATTTACAATATGGTAGCACCTAGAGGCTCCAACTGGGACTCATTGTCAGGGCCCTGCCAAATTAATGGTTCAGTTTAGTAAGTTTCCCAGTCGTTGAACTTCAAACATCATAAATGTCATGGTTTTCCATTATATACACCTGAAATTTCACACCGTTGTAACCATGGGGGAGGGTCTGCAAGGCTATTTTAGGGGGTATTTGCCTCCCTTACTTCTGCACCAATGGTGGCAGTTGTACTGCTTCCAGAGCTGGCTCCCAGTCAGCAGCTGCCAAGCTTCCTGCAGCTGGTGGGAGGTTCCCAAAGATGGGTGTGACCCAGTCCTGGCAGCAGGAGAAGAGAAAGTCCCATCCCTCCCCAGCCTGGCTAGGATTAGCAGCTGCAGCCTAGCACATGGTAATATCCCTCAGCTGCAGTATCCCCAGCCCTGCTCTGCCCCCTCCCTAGCTCAGGGCTCAGCGCTAAGGGCCTTAGCTGTGTATGTGTGTGGTGGGGTGGGGGGTTGACCACTGCATCCATGGCACACTGGAGGGTTGCTCATTTGTAAGTCTGGCCTTTCCCTCTTCCCTTTGCCTCCTCTCAAGAGTGACAGCCTCATCATCAGCAGGTATAATAGGCCTCCCCTAGTGCAGCTGCTGCCACTGAACCCTGTTTGTGGTTTTGATGGGGGAACATTTTTGCTTTTTATTATTCTCCATGCAGATTCTGGGAAAGCTGAGGAGGCAGCATGTGTTACTTAGCTTCCTGGGTTCATCAATCTCCCTGGACTCCAGGGAGATAACTGATGAAACCAGGAAGATAAAGAACTCACACAGGTTTGCACCTCTCTAGTCCAGCACCATGGAGACCTGACTGGTGCCGAGCCAGAAAATTTGCCAGACCTCAGGAAATCAATATTGTCTTGCAGCATTACCAACACTTCCACTGCTTACTGGGTTCTTAGAAGACATTTAGGGGTAAATTAGAGCTAAATCACAGCACAGAACACTGAGAGCCAGGACTGGTGGCTGTAAGCAAAGTTTATGGGATCACGGGAAAGTTGGTCACACCCATGATAAGTGGGACATCTGGCTAACTAAAATCATGCTGGACCACGGATGTTGCTGGATCAGAGAGTACCAGACCAGAGAGGCTCAACCTGTACTACCTCCTCAGGTGCCACAGAACTGCATGTTGCATATCAAAAGCTCCATTGCTTCTTCCAGAGGAGAGTAGAAAAGAGCTTTTGAATTTTCAAGCAGGGCGGCTTGCGGCCTGCAGAGAATAGGCATGTCAGCGACAGCTTTGGCCAGGGCTCCTCCAAGCAGGTGTGGTGGGCGGGGGAGCCTGTCTGGCTGCAGGGTGGCATCTCAGGCTACAGTTGTAGGATGAGTGGAAGGGGCAGAGCCAGAGGCTAACCTCTCTGAAGTAGGGCTCCACTCACCACCCCTGGGTAACCCTTCCGACCCTCCCATACTAGAATACCACCCTTACATCTGCACTACTGGCAGCAGAGCTGCCTTCACAGCTGAGTGCCTGGCCCACAGCCCCTGCCCTTTGGCCACCCAGCTCTGGGGCCAGTGCAGAAGAAAGGGTGGCAACACTGCAGCCCCCTACAATAGCCAGTTTGTTACTGAAAGAATGGCGTTTAATTGCGGTGAGCCAAATATATTGCCTAAAATGAAATGTTTCTAATTTAAACTCTTAATTCTCAATGTACGATTTATGTAAGCTGATAACCAAGCTTGTGGCCCACTCTAAAGGAATTGCTACAGAAAGCAAGCCAGTCTTTGCTGACTCTTGAAAGGCCATGAACATAGCCCCTCCGATCAAGACTAGGCACACCAGTAGTAATTTTTTCAAGTAATATTTATTCAGAAAAAAAAAGCAGTTCCTGTTTTAAATGAAGCAGGAAAAACAGAGTTAAATACAACAAAGATAGCTGTTAAAAGAACAAAGCAATACGGCAAATAGAGAATCAAACTCTCTAGCATAACAATTACAAACAAAACAATGAAGCAGCTCAGCATACAAAAGACACAAGGCCCTATGGCTCAGAATGATGAATAATAGCATTTAACTTAACATCCATCATTAAATATACACCATGTTTCATATTTAACAGTTACCGTGTAACACCGAACACCTGGTAAGTGCTGGCTGGGCAGTTACCAAAGAGGTAGGGGACCATCTCATTCAAGCCAGAAGCCTCCAGCTTTATTGACCGGCAATACCCACCCCTATGAATAAAGTGGTAGAAAGGAAGATTAAACTTACCCTTTTTCCAATCAAATTCCCTCTGATTCGTCTATTGGTCCTTCTGTTCTGTCAACAGTAAGCGCTGTCTGCTGCATCAAGCCATTTTTGCTGCTGGGCTGCTAAAGAAGCCATTGCCATGGTGACTTCAAAATTCAGGGGCTGCTGCTGCTGCTGCTTCTGCTACTTCTTCGCAGGGTTCTATTATTGCCACTGCTGCTTCGTGGGTGGCTTCCTCTGTGCAGGCATCTTACAGCTTCTGCTCGCCTCCGAGATCCTGATCCCACTAAGAGTTTAGCCTGTCAGCCTTATCTACTTACACCAGTGGTCCCCAACGTGGTGCCCGTGGGTGCCATGGCGCCCACCGGGCCATTTCTGTGCACCTGCCAAGTGATCGGGGCCGGCCCTGCCCCCAGGTGCGCAGCACATGGGCGGAGCTAGCCCCCGGGCACATTGGAGGCCCCAGCCCCTGGCGCACAGCACATGGTCAGTGCTGGCCCCAGGCACGCAGCAGTTAAGTGGCCCCACCCTCGGGTGTGCAGCGCGAGGTCTGTGCTGGCCTCGAGCGTGCGGCGTATGGGCGGTGTCGACCCAGGCACGCGGCACAGGGGTGGTGCCAGCCCTGGGCGCACAGCACATGGGTGGCCCCGCCCCCGGGTGAGCAGCGCGAGGGCTGTGCCGGCCCCGGGCTTGCAGCGTATGGTCGGTGCCAACCCAGGCATGCGGCATAGGGGTGGCACCAGCCCCGGGTGCGCAGCACATGGGCAGCCCCGCCACCGGGCACACGGCGCATGGGCACTGCCGGCTCGCGCCCGCTCCAGGCACACAGCGCATGGGCAGTGGTGGCCCCACCCCCTGGGTGCGTGGGACATGGGCTGTTCCGGCCCCGGGCACGCGGCGTAGGGGCGGCCCCACCCCTGGGCGTGCAGCACAGTTGCGTCGCCAGCCCCGGGAGTGTGGCACATGGGTGGCGCCAGCTCCGGGCTCTCAGCATATAGGTGGCCTCGCCCCCAGGTGCCCGGCCTCTGAGCAGCCCCGCCCCTGGGCACTCAGCAGCCCCAGAAGGTTGGGAACCACTGACTTACGCCATCAGTTTCCATCTTTCACCTAGCTCCACCTTGAACCCCACCCATTCACGTGTACCTACATGTGACACGTAGCTCCTCCACATGTACCGCTACGAGACTGTCAGATATCAGTCCAGAGGGCATGGCTGTTGGTATCAATCCCAGTTAGGAAATGGCTCAGCAGAAAGCCCAGTTAGAAGTGGAATTTACCATTACATCACAGGAAGTGAAATTATTGCATGACAGGAAATTGAACCCTGTGTTTCTTAGAAACAGAATCTTCCATTGTCCACTATTTTGGTCAGCCATATTGGATAGTCTAAATCTAAACCAATATTAATTTGTATTTAATCAAAAATTAAATCTTAAACCTAATTGCTGTCTTGTGTAATCGTAAGTGTTCTGATACTATCGCCATCCTTTTTAATGGCCAAATATCAATAATTGGAGTTAATAATTCATCTGAATTTTACATGCCTTCTGAAGTTTTTCTGCAAACCTCCCATTGAGGCAATTCAAACAACTGGGGCAAAAATCTCTTACTACAAGATTTCAGAGTGAAAACTAGATTTCATGCTCTGTGGCAAATTTATCACAGCTGTGAATTTGGTAGGTCCCTATTCACTGTGTCAGGCCCTGTATACATGTATCATAAACGACAGCTCCTGCATGTTTTATTGGCAGTGTGTAGAGTACATACACTGGCAATGTGGGAGAAGTGGGGGGGTGGACAAAGGGCCACAAGAGCGCTCACCAATGTTGTGGGTGGGAGGAGCAAGGAACCAAAGCCTCTGAGGGTATGTCTACACTACAGAGAAGATCGATGCTGCCATAGTCAGTCTTCCAGGGTTTGAATTAGCAGGACTAGTGAAGACACACTAATTCGAACTGAAAGGGGCACTCCGGTTGATGCCAATAGTCCTGCTCTCACAAGGAATAAGGGAAGTCACCTCAAAAAAAGATATTTTGGCCTTGGAAAGGGTTCAGAAAAGGGCAACTAAAATGATTAGGGGTTTGGAATGAGTCCCATGTGAAGAAAGGTTAAAACGACTGGGTCTTTTCAGTTTAGAAAAGAGGAGGCTGAGGGGGGATATGATAGAGGTAGATAAAATCATGAGTGGTGTGGAGAGGGCGAATAAAGAAAAATTATTTATTAGTTCCCATGATAGAAGAACTAGAGGACACCAAATGAAGTTAATAGGTAGCAGGTTTAAAACTAATAAAAGGAAGTTCTTCTTCACACAGCGCGTAGTCAACCTGTGGAACTCCTTGCCAGAGGAGGCTGTGAAGGCTAGGACTATAATAGAGTTTAAAGAGAAGCTAGATAATTTCATGGAGGTTAGCTCCATAAAAGGCTGTTAGCCAGGGGATAGAAATGGTGTCCCTGGCCTCTGTTTGTCAGAGGCTGGAGATGGATGGCAAGAGACAAATCACTTGATCACTGTCTTCGGTCCACCCCCTCCGGGGCACCTGGAGCTGGCCACTGTTGGCAGACAGGCTACTGGGCTAGATGAACCTTTGGTCTGACACAGTATGGCTGTTCTTATGTCGAAGGGCTAGATGAACCTTTGGTCTGACACAGTACGGTTGTTCTTATGTCAAAGGGAAAGTGTTCTCCCTGTGACATCCTGCAGTGTGGACAGCACCAAAAGTCAAGTTAAGGTACTTCGACTTCAGCTATGCAATTTACATAGCTAGAGTTGCGTAGCTTAATTCAACCTTATCCCATAGTGTATACATACCATGGGTAACCCAGAGGCTTTGAGGGGAGCGTGGGGGGGGTTGTCTTGGCACCTGCAGCAGGGGTCTCCCCATCGCCATACTGGCAGTAATGGAAGGAAGCAGAGCAACACAGCTGGTAGCCAGAGGAGTGAAGCCATTTTGCTCTACTTCTCTCAACTGCCACTGGTGAGTGCAAAGGGGCCCAAGGCCAGCTGCTGGTGCCAGATCCCCACTAGTCCCACTTCTCACTACACATGTAGCTACAGGTACCCAGTGCTGTGAACAGCGCTGTGGTGTGCTGATGTAGCCTAAAGACAAGGCAACACAGGAGAATGAGAGAAGGGAAGGGAAGAGAGCAGCCAGAACAACGTTTTGGGACAGACTAGCTGGGAGGGTCATTCTCAACCAGTCACTAGCAGGGATCACAACCCCCCCCTGTCCAGCCATTAGCTGGGCATTGTCTGGTCTGTCCCAACACACTGGAATACTTAAGTGGACTCTGCCCATGTAGCCCCCGGCCATCACAACTGGCACTGTTCAGTGCCCTCACTGCGCACGGACACACTGGGTATGCTGAGCGAACAACCTTCTGCAGAGCAGCACTTGGGAACACGGATGGGACAGCACTTGGGAAGCTGGCACAGCTGTTTGCCGTGGTGTAGCTGTTCATTGCCTAGACAGAAAGACATGAGCTGGCAGCACAGTCAAACCTATCAGGGCTAAATTCACATTCCACATTTTTATGAAAGAACCCCTCCCCCCCTAGTATTTGGAATCAAACTGTGCAATAACTAACCTATGACAAGTGAACTGGTTTCAGAGCCCCTAACATCACTCCCTCCCCTCCTTTGCTGGTCAGGGGAAGTTAGTGTGTCTTGTTTCATGTTCAAGTGTAAGCTCTTCAGAGCAGGGGCTGTGTAGCTGCTTCTTTCTACAGCATCTAGCACAATGGGCCGTGGTACTTTCAGGCACTACCAGAATAGAATAAAACCTTCAGAAATCCATGTGGCACCAAGTAATCTCAGAAAAATAAAGTGCTTCTTGCAGGAGCCCAAATTCTAGCTTTGGTGGACTTCACATCAAAGTAAAGGGTTGGCCTTTCATCCATTTCACATAAGAAAGAAATCTTTTAAAGGGCAATTTGGAAATCTAACTCCTGTTTGTTCCTTTAAAATCTCCTCCTAAACTAGGATTTTTAAAAAAAAACAGAGCCAACTCGGATTCTTACAGTGCCCCATCAACACAATATTTAAGCGCTTCCTAAGCAAACTAAATCTCCTGCTCTTTTCATTTATGGGAGACCCTGTGATTTAGTTAATACCATAGTTGCACGTGTTGAGGAATCATACCACCATCATTGGGGAGAAGGCAAGAATATAAGGCATTAGCATGGTATAAATATTGTAAAACCTATATCAGTAACACAGGTGGAAAGGTAAAGGGTCTTCCTAGGTTTTACTACAGGATTTAACAGTGCATTTTTGTCTGTGTCCTAGCTACCTCTGATCTACTTAATGGTGTTGATTGGTGATCTCTATGGCCTGTTGAACTTCTATAGCTTTTCACGCTGGCTCTTCATAGGACTGGTGACCCTTGGGCTCATAATACATCGTTATCGGCATCCTGAGGTACCAAGGCCCTTCAAGGTAAAAGGAGATCTGGCTAACATCAGCCCCATGAAGCACCACAATCAGAGGATTTTGAAAAAGAAAGCGTTTTGATATGGAAGGATAGAGATGTCCTTCCGTCCTTGTTTGGCAGAAGCGGCTCCATGAGATCAAATGGTCCTCTAGTATTCTGTACTTGCTTCATCTGCAGACAAGGAATCCAAATGGCAAACTATTGTCATTACAGTGGGCTGGGTAAGGTCACTAGTTTGTTTCTGCTGATAGAGTAGCAAAAACTGCAGCCTAATGACTATTAGCACAGTTTGCAGAAGGACTTCAATACTGATGTGGTTAGTGGCAGCAGTAAGACACAAAAAACGTAGCTATCTTGCTTGTTTAGGTTTTGTTTCTGAGCAGGCAAATGCTCCTACTGACCCACTAGAGAGACATCTGCAATGCAGACAAAGACCATAAGATGCTTTACCACTAAGTACAGAAACACTGCAAAATTCAACCAGTTGAATGAAAACAGACTGCATGTCTCATGTTCCTCACAGCTTCTTTGCCCATAAAATTGTAGAAATGAGAAATTTAGCCCAGTTATGCTATGCTTTGTTGCAACAAAAACCCAAGCACAGTACAAAAAGAACCCCAAGCCACTTGGAATGGCCAAACTAGAGCAATAGCCTCTGTCCTCTAAAGTGCAGATATTTGCAGCACTACGATAGCTTAGAAAGTGAAACCACTCTCACACAGTTTTGGTGCTTTATGTACATTTCTTGTTTGCTGTTGCTTGACAAGCAATCTATTAGGTACCTGATGACAAGCTCTGCCAGGCCTTCCATCTCCTAGATTCCCTCTCTTTTCTAGGTGCCTCTGTTCATCCCATTGGTTTTCACAATATCATCTCTCTTCATCGTGGGAATGTCCCTTTATTCAGACCCTGTGAACACAGGCATTGGCTGTGCCATAACTCTGACTGGTCTGCCTGTCTACTACCTGGTGGTCCAGAAATCAAGAATACCAGCCAGCTGCAGTGCAATGTTCAGTAAGTACAGGCTATAACATTAGATCTAACACTGAAGGGCCTTTTAAAAAATATGCTCTTGTTCAAACTCATTTAATGCAGGAATCACTAGTACGGTTCTATGGCCTGAGTTAATGCAGATGGTCAAACTCAGTGATCATAATGGTTCCTATGGTCTTTGAAAGGAAGAGATTCATAGGCTCATACTTGAAGGCCAGAAGGGGCCATCATGACCCTCTACTCTGACATCCTGCCACAAAACCTCCCCCCCCCCCCATAACAGAGCCAAAACTTCTGCCTGAGTTACTGGATTTAAATCCTGATTCAAAGACTTCAAATTGGAGAATCCACCATTTACTCTAGTTCAAACCTGCAACCAACCCATGACCCACACTAGAACTGTGAAGAAGGGACATTTTAAAGCCAAGTGTGAATCTTCCATGTTTTCAAGCAAAATTATGCATACACTAGCAGCAATTAACCACAAACATCCAATTCTAGGATTTAAAACACCATTACCCTTCCAACTACCATCAATAGGAATCAGCTAGACAGCACTACAGTTAGAACCTCCTCCTCCTTTATCCTCTAGCCATATTCTGGCTGTTTCTGGCTCTTACAAATTGTCACCGTGCATCTAAGAATCTATTGTCCTAGCCCAGTGATCCCCAACCTTTTGGGGCTGCTGGGTGCACGGGGGCGGGGCCACTCACATGCCGGGCACTCAGAGGCGGGGCCGCGCACGCGCCCAGGGGCGGGACCACCCATACGCTGCACTCCCGGGGCCGGCGCCGCTCCTGTGCCGCACGCCCAGGAGACGGCATCACCCACGTGCTGCGCACCTATGGCCGGCGCCGCTCCTGGGCTGCATGCCCAGGGGCGGGAACACCCATGCGCCGTGTGCCTGGGGCCGGTACAGCCCATGCACCGTGCACCCAGGGGCCGGTGCCGCTCCTGTGCTGCACGCCCAGGAGCCGGCATCACCCATGCGCTGCGTGCCTGGAGCCAGCGCAGCTCCTGCACTGCATGCCCAGGGGCGGGGACGTCCATACGCTGCATGCCCAGGGCCGGCACTGCCCATACGCCACGTGCCCGGGGCCGGCACTGCCCTTGCACCATGCACCTGGGGGTGGGGCCACCCATGTGCTGTGCGCCCAGGGGCTGGCACCACCCATGTACCATGTGCCCGGGGGTGGGGCTGGTCCCGATCACTCGGCGGGTGCACAGAAATGGCCCGCAGGCACCGCGTTGAGGACCACTGTCCTAACCCATCTCAGGCCTGTTTGAAAAATAAGGAAGAGTTCTCCAGAAAAAGCACACACAAGACCTTTCTTATGCAACAGGTTGCAAGTTATATGTATGATTCTATTACAGCAATGCCTAGATATCATAAATCAGGGCTCCCCTGTACTAGGCACCCTTATGCAACAGGTTGCAAGTTATATGTATTATTGTATTACAGCAATGCCTAGATATAAATCAGGGCTCCCCTGTATTAGGCACCCCGATATGTAGGTTTCAAACAAAACTGCACTGGAAACTACACAGGGATACTTTAAGGTGGTTGTTTAAGACCAAAGGTTGCAAGGCAGGAGGCTGGGAAAAATTGGTTCTTGGTGCAGTTTTCACTAATTCTATGTAAGAGATGTTGCAGAAGGAGTGCTGGGGGACTCTTTGGACAGAGATTGCCCTGGTCCAGTAGTTTTCACTTACAGAATAAACTTCCTCACCCTCCCCATGATTCCTGTTTCAGACAATGTTTTCTCTTCTCGCTGCACTATGTGTAGATTCCATGACAGTGAAGCTGCAGGTCCTGATGGAAGTCATCCCCCAGGAAATCCAGACTTACTGAAGGCATTTTGCATCAGAGCCCAGACTTCACTCAAAAAGGCCCAAGAAAGACCCTCATTAATTCCATTCTTGGTGGCAGCTGGTAAAGAAATCCAAGCAAAATGACTTAAAGGATCTTTCTGCAATGATATCAGACCATATGTGTGGACTAAAACATTATTTTAATGAAAACAGTACCTTGGTCATCTTCACAAGTCCTCTCGAATACTGGGCTGTTCAGGCACATAGAAAAATAAATCTTTTTAGCATTAAGACTTCTTCTTTCCCATTACTTGAGTGATGTTACAAGCCAGTGTTCCCAATGCCAATAATTCACTGCAGTGGGGGTGAATCTCAAGTCGAACTCGATGGTGGCATTATCTGATGATTGAAGCAAAGGACAAAGCTACCTTAAGTTCATATCATCATGCAGAATAATGATGGGAAAAAGGAATACGAAAATCTATTTAAGAGTTTTGGGACATGATGTTTTCTCTCTAAAGTATGCCTGAGTAACTTTTAACTTGAGGCTGCCCAGCATAGACTAAGTGACAGCAACATGCAAGTGTGGAGCTTCCATGGAAAACATTTCTTATCATTGGCCAAACCACCACAAGAGGTTTTAACTAAAATCTTTTAATTGTTTTCTATCATACCAAAAGACATACATGGGAAAACCGATTCAGACAAATCACAACCTAAACAAAACTTCAGGAAGCCCAAACTTTTCATGTAACCAGTCCTAATATCTTTTTAGAGCCTTAAATTATATTACCTACATCCACATGTTCCACCAGAAAGGACATTGTCTCAACGACTTAATTACCTGCATCCTGCTTCAAAAGCCTTTTAAGACTGCACTTGAAAGAGAATCCTCTGAGCTTCCCCAATTATCACCTCTAATATCATTAGCTCACAGACATTTACCTCCCCCCCCCAATCTGTTCCGAAATGTGTTTTTTTTTTTTAATTGTATCCTTTGGTATATATGGTTGTGACAATTCTCTTCCACTATTTGATCTGAGGAAGTGGGTCTGGCCCACAAAAGCTCATCACCTAATAAACCATCTTGTTAGTCTTTAAAGTGCTACATAGTCCTGCTTTTTGTTCATAGAAGCGTGCCTTGCAATTTCACCAGTTACCACCAGGGTACATACTTGGATCACAAGTATTTCTTTCAAGTGTACTACAGTTTAAATTGGAGCATGAGTGGAAATACCATTCCCAATAACTACACAAAGTTAAACTAGGGAGCTGATATTTCTCCTTAAAAATGATCTTTGGGAAGAGCAAGAAATAGTACTCTCCCTTTCTGACAGATTCCAAGCATCACAAACAGCTTACACATACTGTATTTTTAGTTACCTTATGTGTTCCATCAAAGGTTTATTTTCCAAAACCAGAGCACATGCAGTAGGAGCATTGAGCAGTACAAATAAAGAGACCTATTAATCCAAATGCAACTCTTAAAAGGTTGCAGCCCTTGTTCTACTGCGTCTATATAAGGTAAGTCAGATGTCAAGTAGTAAAGACAAAGCTCATTGGCTCATGAGCATACCTGCAGATGGAACAGAGACAAGATGAGTGAAATAAGATCTTTTATTTGACTGACTTCTAGGGAGACAACCTTTCTTTCCTGAAGAAGAGCGCTCTGCAAATTCAAAAGCAAGTCTCTCCCACCAGCAGAAGTGGGTCCAATAGATATTACCTTGCCTCCCTTGTCTCTCTCATTTCCTGGGACCGACATGGGTAGAAAACTGAAGACTTCAGATGGAACCACTGGAGGAGAATAAATTAGCAGAGATTTTGCCTACAAGTAAACCATCTGTCTATTTATATTTAGTTGCTAATTAGTTTCCACAGCAATCTTAAAATGAATAAAAATGGTATACTAGCATTTCCATTCCAGTCCTCTACTTGTTTGGGGAGTGTTCACACATTGCTTACCAGTGATAAAAGCTTGTGATCCAAGGTCTCCCAGAGGCAAGCACACTTTTACAGGAATGAATATTCAGCATACCACTTTGCAACCTACCCATCCTTGTGCTTTTTTGTTTCATGATCTTGTAATCCTAAAACAACATGATTGATGTTCACTAGTGATGAATGGAATTCCAATGCAACCTGCTCCTTTGATCTACTTTCTCCATGGTTTCATTTTATAGTCTATATGCCACAGATAGACAAATGTACCAAGAGCAAGAGTCGCTTGGTGAAAAGCCTTATTCTAGGTGGTCGGTAGTTCATCAGCAGACACACTGCTATTCGAAATGAAGGTCCTTTATTTCCTAGAATTATTCCCTCTAATCCAGTGGTTTCCAACCTTTTTAAGCACAAGATCACTTTTTAATTTAATTCACGACCCATCCCAACTCCCAATACCTTTGCCTCGCCTCCGTCTCTGAAGTCCCTGCTCCATCCCTTCTGTGAGGTGCCACCCTGCTTACTCCATCCCCCATCCTCACTCACTTTCACCTGGCAGAGTCCATCAAGGGGTTGGGGGAGATCAGGATGCAGGCTGTGGGAAGCAGTTTGAGTGGAGGACAGGCTCAGGGCTGGGGCAGTGGTTCAGGATGCAGGCTCTGACTGGGCACTATTTACCTCAGGTGGCTCCTTGGTGGTGGCACTGTGGGGCTAAGGCAGGCTCACCCCCACCCTGAAAGTGGCCAGCATGTCCAGAAGTGGCACCTGAGCAGGGAGGGAGTGGGACAGGCAGGTGGCTCTGCGCTCTGACTCCTGTCTGCACACAGCCCCCCCACACTCCCATTGGCCATGGTTCGCTCTGACTGGGCACTATTTACCTCAGGTGGCTCCTTGGTGGTGGCACTGTGGGGCTAAGGCAGGCTCACCCCCACCCTGAAAGTGGCCAGCATGTCCAGAAGTGGCACCTGAGCAGGGAGGGAGTGGGACAGGCAGGTGGCTCTGCGCTCTGACTCCTGTCTGCACACAGCCCCCCCACACTCCCATTGGCCATGGTTC